TATAGGACTGAGGAATCACTGACCTCTACCTCTGAAACAAATTATACACTATATGTTGATTGATTGAAATTTAAATTAAAAAATAAAGAAAAATCAGACACCCCTTTTCACTATTTCATATTCTGGTTCAGATATTCTTTTTAATTTTTAATTCTTTTTTTTTTTTTAAGAGAAGGAGAGAAAGAGGTGGGGGAGGGAGCAGCAGACAGAGAGGGAGAGAGACAATCTTAAGCCCATACTGGGCACGGAGCCCAAGGTGGGGCTCAATCTCAGGACCCGACATCATGACCTGAGTTAATATCAAGAGTTAGACACTCAACCGACTGAGCCACGCAGGAGCCCTGGTTCAGATATTCCTTTTAAATATTTTTTTAGATTTTGTATAAAACTATTATTTTTCTGATTTAAATTCAAGTTAGTTAACAAAGGGTGTATTTTTGGTTATAGGGATAGAATTTAGTGATTCATTAGTTGCATATAACACCCAGTGCTCATTACATTGAGTGCCCTCCCTAGTGCCCATCACCCAGTTACCCTATTCCCCACTCACTTCCCTGGTTTTCACATATATTTTTAAAGATTTTATTTATTTATTTGAGAGAGAGAGACAGAGCATGAGCAGGGGCAGGGAGAGGGAGAAGCAGGCTCCCCACTGAGCAGGGATCCTGACACGGGGTTCCACCCTAGGACCCTGAGATCATAACCCAAGCAGAAGACAGATGCTTAACCAACTGAGCCACTCAGGTGCCCTGTTTTTATATATTCTTTTTTTTTTTTAAAGATTTTATTTATTTATTTGGCAGAGAGAGACACACAGAGAGACATAGAGGCAACACAAGCAGCGAGAGTGGGAGAGGGAGAAGGAGGCTTCCTGCTGAGCAGGGAGACAGATGAGGGGCTCGATCCCAGGACCCTGGGTTCCTGACCTGAGCTGAAGGCAGGTGCTTAACCTACTGAGCCACTCAGGTGCCCCCATTTTCACATATTCTTAATAAAACACAGAAAATGACTTGAGCCTTAATTTTGAAAAATTCAAAAGTAGTAGCAAAATATAAAAGGGAAAGCTCTATTAGAAAGAATTTTCTTTTTTTATCTTACTTTATTGTTCTTAAATATTTTTATTTATTTGAGAGAGAGAGAGAGCACAAGCAGGAGGATGGGCTGAGGCAGAGGGAGAAGCAAACTCCCCGCTGAGCAGGGAGCCCAACAGGGGACTTTATCCCAGGACCCTGGAATCATGACCTGAACTGAAGGCAGATGCTTCAACTGACTGAGGCATGATGGTGCCCCAGAAAATACATTTTTTAATTGTTAAAAATGTTAATGTAAGCAGAGGTAATTTCAGGCTTGTACACATGTGTACTTGTTCCCTATCCTGGCTGGTCTTTTACAGATCTAACTTTTTGTTTCTGGTTAAGTAGGTAGAATGTAGAGTGGAAAAAAATCTTATTTCATCTTAAAAACAATTGTATGAAGCTGATATTACTGTTGTCTTCATTTTACAGATGAAGACACAGATTCAAAGAAGCCAAGGGCCTTGTCTCCAAGGTCACATGGCTCACAGCGTATCTCTGCTCTCCTCTTCCAGCCCTTCTACTTCAGCTAAGAGTTCACTCTTTCTGTATCTGAAATTGAGCAAAAGTTGATATTCTTCTACCCAGGTGCTAGAAGGGGTCTAGGAAAGACAGTGATGAGGATCCTGAGAAGCCCTTGGACGGAGAACGTGTGAACAGCAGGTGGCAGCAGTGTCCTTGGAGTCGTGGTTATCCCCCAGTGCCTGGAAAGCAAGGTCAAAGCGCGCACAGAGCGGTGGCAGGTGGAGGGCGTGGATCTGATGCCTGACCTCTGCTCTCTGACTGTCTCCCACCCTCCATCCACCTCCTCCGGAGCCAACTGGACTATCTGACACCTAGGATGTCTGACAGAGAAAGGGTTTCCCTTTCTCTGCAGTAGGTATCCCTGAGGAACCTGTGCGGAAGATTGGGGAAAATGACCCAGAAGTCATGTACATTGGAAAGTCTCCATCTAGATAATTAATGTCAATGAGTACAGTTGTGTGATCATGGCATGTTGCCCTCTCTGTTCCTTGATATCCTGTTCTGTAAAATGGGGATCATAATGGCCACCTGCTTCTCAGGGTTATTGAGATGATTGAAGAAATATGATCTATGCAAAGCCTTAGAACAGCTACTCTTCAGTACTATCCTTTGTAGAGGGCTTTATCATTTGCAGTGGACTTTCATACCTATCATCTCATCCCATCCTCCCTCCATATTTTGAGATGCAGATATGATGTCCATTTAACAGAGAAGGACTCTTCGGTTGAGTCAGAAGAAATAAAACTTAATGTGAACTTTGAGGTCAGATGGAGGAAGTCAGATTCCCCTGAGGCATGGGCACACAGGCAAGTTAATCCGTGGTTCAGAGCCTCAGTTTCTTTGCAAAATGGTGAGAATCTTACCTATCTTGTGTGTTTGTTATGAGGATTAAATAAAACAACGTACATGAAGCTCTCTGGTGTAGTTCCTCTTACATAAGGAACACTTAACATTATTAAAACTACATCTTAAAAATCAAACATACAGAAGTCATATGGAAGGCAAATTACTCACGGTCCCACCACCCAGAAATAACTCTGTTATTATTGTGGTGTGTTTTTTCCCTCGGCGTTTACGTGTAATGTGGCTGAGATCGCATCACGTGTGTAGAAATAACCTGACCAAAGTGCGGCCCCCAGGAAGGATCAGAGCTGGGCTGGTGCACCAGGCAGGCTGGCTCGAGGCTGGCGCTGTCCTGTGTAACCTCTTCTCTACTCTGCCTCTACAAAGTTAAGGCTTACATGACTTTTGAGAAACTGAGGGAAAAATGTTGAACTGCTTCAAGTCTGAAAATACATACTTACATTCAAAAGCATGTAGAGGAACCAGAAGCAGCCAAAACAGTCCTATCGTAGAGTTAAAGGCTGGAATTTTGCCTGGAAAAGGGGTTTCACGTGGGAAAATTTTTTAAAATTTCTGCCCATTTCTATTTAGCCAACATTTTAGTAGTTAAAATATTACTGTTCAGGCTGTTAAAATTGCAATGAGTAAATTTGGTAAAACCGGTAAACTAGTCATCTGACAGATTGATTACATTGACAAACTGCGTGGTTGATCATTCAGCGGACTGGGTTCTGGGGTGCGCTGATCTTTGGCTAATTGGCTTGCATCTATTGGACATGGAGTAGTGTTCAATATATAAACTTGTTGAGTAAACGAATACATGAAGGAATGAATGAACTGAATCTTGCTATAAACAAGATGATGTTTCTAAAATTCAACGACTTTTCAATCTACAGATTCAATACAATCCCTCTTAAAACACCAAGAGTATTTTTCACAAAACTAGAACAAATAATACTAAAATTTGTATGGAACCACATAAGAGCCTGAATAGCCAAAGAAACCTTAAGAAAGAAGAACAAAGCTGGAGGTATCATGATTCCATATTTCAAGCTATACTACTGGCTGTAGTAATCAAAACGGTATGGTATTGGCAAAGAAAGAGACACAGATCAATAGAGCAGAGAGACCCCAAATATAAACCCACGATTACATGGTCAATTAATTTATGACAAAGGAGACAAGAATATAAATGGGGAAAAGACACTCTTTTCTTTCTTTCTTTCTTTTTTTTTTTAAGATTTTATTTATCAGAGCAAGAGCAAGCACAAGCAGGCAGAGGGAGAAGCAGGCTCCCTGCGGAGCAAGGAGCCAGATTCGGGGTTCGATCCCAGGACCTTGGGATCATGACCTGAGCAGAAGGCAGCAGCTTAACCAGCTGAGCCACCCAGGCTTTATTGAAAAGACAGTCTTTTCAATAAACAATGCTGGGAAAACTGGACAGCTACACGCAAAAGAATGAAACAGGACCACTTTCTTATACCATACACAAAAAATATACTCAAGATGGATTAAAGATCTAAATGTGAGACCAGACACTGTAAAAATCCTGGAAGAGAACACAGGCAGTAATTTCTCTAACATTGGCTGTAGCAAATTTCCTAAATACATCTCCTGAGGTAAGGGAAACAAAACAATGAACTATTGGGACTACATCAAAATAAAAAGTTTTTGCATAGCAAAGGAAACCATCAACAAAACAAAGACAACCTACTGAATGGGAGAAGATATTTGCTAATGATTTTTCTGAGAAGGAGTCAATACCCAAAATATATAAAGAACTTACACAACTCAACACCAAAAAAGCAATCCTATTAAAAAATGGGCACAGGATCTGAATAGACATTTTTCTAAAGAAGACATACACATGGCCAACAGACACACGAAAAGATGCTCAACATCATTAATAATCAGGGAAATAAAAATCAAAACTACAATGAGATCTCACCTTACACCAGTTAAAATGGTTACAATAAAAAAGATAAGTAACAAGTGTTGGTGTGGATGTGGAGAGAAAGGAACTCATGTGTACTGTTTTTGGGAATGTAAATTCGTGCAGCTATTGTGGAAAACAGGGTGGAAATTCCTCAAAAAATGACAAACAGAACTATCATATGATCTGATAATTCCACTACTGGGTATTTATTCAGGGAAACCAGAAACATGGACTCAAAAAGATGTGTGCACCCCTATGATATAGCACTATTTACAATAGCCAAGACATGGAAGCAGCCCAAGTGTCCATCAATAGAGGAATGGATAAGGAAAATGTAGTGTATATATATATATGTGTGTGTGTAGATATACAATGGAATATTACACAGCCATAAAAAGGATAAGATCGTGCCATTTGAGACAACATGGATGGACCTAAAGGGTATCATGCTAAGTGAAACACGTAAGACTGAGAAAGACAAATACCATACGATTCTACTCATAAGTAAAATCTAAGTTTAAAAAACCCCAAATGAATAAACAAATAAAAAGCAGAATCAGAGAACAAACTGATGGTTCCCAGAGGGGAGGGTGCCGAGGGTTGGGCAAAATGGGTGAAGGGGAGTGGGAGGCACAGTTTTCCAGTTATGGAATGAATAAGGAAGCCATAGGCTCGGCATAAGGAACACAGTCAATGATCCTGTAACAGTGATGTGATGGGACGGATGGTACTGCACCTGTGGTGAGCAGAGCGTACCATACAGAGTTATGGAATCACCGTGTGGTACACCTGAAACTAATGTAACACTGTGTGTCCAGTAGACTCATATCAAAGAGGGAGCGAGAGAGAGGGATCAGATTTGTGGTTACCAGAGGCAGAAGAATGAGAGAGAGAAGTAAGACGGGGGTCAGAAGGTACAAACTCCCAGTGATCAGTAAGGTAGTACTGGAGATGTCCTGTCCAACACGATGACGAGAATTAACACTGCCCTACGAAGGACAAGGAAGTTGTTAAGAGAATCAATCCTAAGAATTCTCATCATAAGGAGGACATTTTTTTTCCCTTTTTTCCTTCTCTTCTTATTATATCTATATGAGACGGTGGAGGCTAGCCGAACCTACTGTGGTCATCATGTCACAATATATGTGAATCATACCATCACACTGTATGCCTTAAATGTATACAGTGATGTATGTCGATTATTTCTCTATAAAACCAGAAAACAAAAATAAGATAAAATAAAATAACACACACACACATACACACACACACACTCAATGACTTTACATGATGTCAGCATTTTAAGAGCCTTGCAAGTTTCGTGAGACAGAAATTCTGGTTCTAGAATCACTTTCGGTATACCCCTACTCCAACTCCATGCTTGGGGCCTGGATGGCTGCTTAGCGATGGCCAGTGCATCCTGGTGATTCAGGGTCAAAGCCCACTTTGGAGTCAGAAGAACCAGGTTCCAACTTCACGCAGCTCTCCCACTTACCAGCTCCAGAACACTGGCCAGCTGGTTCACCCTTGAACTGTTTCCTCATCGATCAAATGGGCATAGTTCTGATGTCTGCCCCCTCCCTTGTTTCTGGCATCACTGTCAAAATCAAACAAAATATGTAAATGTTCGCTGGGAGCGGGGGAGTGCTAGATGAATGTGAGTTCATTATTGTGACGCCATTAGACCTTAGCGTCCAAAGGGCAACATGTTGGTGAGGAAGGGGTAGGGTTTCTCTGGGGAAGGAGAGCCTGGTCTACTCCCGAGGATGGCCACTCCCCCGCTTTGCTCTTCGGCCTCTGCCCTTCTGGTCACTGACACCAGCGGCAGAGAGACCCATGGACCTATTAAACTGCCCCATGTAGGTCACCTGCCAGGAAAGAGCAGACAAACAGCAGTGGCCTCATAATCAGCGCCTCCTGCCTGGACACGTTGGCCTGAGGTTGTCGGTGCAGAGCCACTGAGGGCAGGGTGAGGAGAGCAGCCTGGCCTCTCCCACAGTCACTCCCGGGCCTGTGAGGCCCAGCTGCAGATATCCCCCTGGTCTGGCCTCTCCCTCTCGGCCATGCACAGCTCTGAAGCTAGCCTCCCAGTGTTTGGAGCCAGTGTCTACAGGCCACCTTTGCTGACTCGCAGGAAGAAAGCTATCGTCAATGCAAGCTAGCTGGAGAGGGCTGGGGACAGGACAGAACACAGCTGCATGGGACAAGACAGCCTGGGAACACCAAAGACAGAAAACTGGTGGGATACTGGGGAGAAGGCTGGAGAGCACTGTTTCTTTTCTCCTTTTTCTCAAGTGTAAGAGTGACTGAAGGGAGGGGAAGGGCATTTTTCAAGGGGGAACCAGCAACCAGTGTCAGCGTCCAGAGCTTATTTGGGTGACGGGACATTCCTGCAGCTGTCAGGAGTCCTACCACCACTCAGTGATGCTGCAGTCCAGCTGGTCCAGGCCAGACACCCCCCCACAGCTCCTGGCCTCACACCCAGGCCATGGGACCCATGCAAGTCTCCCGCCACTAGCCAAGCAGTAACGTATCATCTCCTCATTCTGGCTGACTTTCTCTTTCATGACTTAGATTAGCCCTGCTAGAGACTAAGCCTAGCAGTTCACTATACCTGTCAGGTACATGGACTATGCATGGAAAGGTTCTGAGCATCTCAACGCATTTATTATCTCATATCAGCTGGGTCCTCCATCTTACCCCTCAGAGATCCGGTTCAAGTTAGCCCAAACCCCACTTCCAGGGCCTGTGACGAGGGCTGGTTTTAGATGGTAACAGGCCCCAGGGCCTTTCAATTAATTATGGAATTCACATTCCACACCATATAAAACACATTGGAATATACCCATCTTTCACATTAAATATAACATTTTTGGATAGCAAAAAAAATCAAAATGAGTTTTGCTTTTGAAATTATGTAGCTACTGGTCATCCATTTACTATATGATCATGAGTTCTGAGCTGTCATCACACATGCACAGGAAATTTTACGGAGTGAGAAAAGTCAAACCATAGCATTATTTCCAAATATGAAGGATTATAAATATAAAATTTTTAAATGCAGTTGACATAATTGTATGTTTTATAGATGTTTAATTAAAATGCTCTACTTTCAATTTTATACTTTTCTCCTTGTTTCAGATTCAGTCATTGTTTTTCTCATCTCACAAGTTTTTTTTTTTTTTCTTTTTTTTTTTTAAACTGTTCTTCTGCCAGAGGCCCTGTGCCAGTGGGGCCTGCGCACCAGACGGCCCTGTCTGAGGTTGCTAAAAGTCCTTTCTAAGATTCTGGCCTGTCCCTCACCTTATTTCTAGTCTCTTTCTGCTCCCTTACTCCTGCACATCTGCTCATTCTTTGGCTTTAGCTCGTACCCAAACTGGTCACAAGGCTCAGTTCCTTCCCTGTTTCCTATAAAAGACCACCAAGAGGTACTTTTGGTGGAATCTGGATCAGGGCTGGTCACCAGAAAGACCAAGGACAATCGGGAGCTTAGAACTTTCAGCCTCAACCTCCTTTCTCTGGAGAGGACAGGGGGCTAGAAATGGTGTTAATAAACAACCATGCCCACATGATGAAGCCTCCATTAACAATCCCAACAATACTGGGTTGGGGGGCTTCTGTGTGGCTGAGCACACCTGCGTGCTGGGATGGTGGCTGACTCCACCTGCACAGGCATGGCAGGTCCTGGGCTCGGAACCCTTCTGGATCTTGTCCTATGTAGCTCTTCATCTGCCTGTTCATTCATTACCTTTACTGTGTCCTTTGTAATAAACTGGTAAGACCTAACTGTTTCCCTGATTTCTGTGAGCCATTCTAGGGAATTACTGACGCCAAGGAGGGGATCATGGGAACTCTGACTGCAAGCCAGTTGGTGAGAAGTACCGGTGACAGCCTGGACTTGTGATTGGCTCCTGAAGAGGGGGCAGTCTTGTGGGATTGAGCCCTGAACCTGTGGGATCTGATGCCAACTCAGGTACACAGTGTCAGGACTGAACTGAACCGCAGGACGCCCGGGACGGTGAGGTGTCAGCGTCGGGGAAATGCCTGAAGTGTGGAAAAGCCACACATCTGGTGTCAGAAGTGTTATGAGTATGGTACTACTTTGATTTCATGATTCTGGGCAAATTCAAAGTTTCTTCACATCAGGAAGAGATTGAGGATTCTTTGTTTAAAGGTATTTCATGACATCTAACACATTACACTACGAAAACAGGGAGATGGAAAAATTCACCGGTGCAGGCAGAATGGAAGCCTGCTGTTTTCCATTAACTCCCTTCCGTTCATGTCCTGAAGGTGGAGCTGACTTTTAAATTGCTCCCTGGCAATCCAGAATGTGGCTCCGACACTCCCATGCTGCTACCGCTCTGTGCATTCTCACAGTACTCAGCTGAGACACCCTAAGGTAAGAAGGGAAAATGGAGCTTCAAGGCTTATACTGGTGAGAACAACAGAATCCCTCCAACAAATCCAGGAAAATGTAGAATTCCAGAAAGCCACGGGAAATCACAACTTTCAGACTGAGATCAAACTTCAACTCTCCTAACTGGGAGGTGACGTCTAGCTTGAAAATCCTTGTGCTGCCAGCTCAACCCAAGTCCACTTTCCTTGAAGCTGAGCGGCTGCAAAACTGGAAGTTTGGGGAGAGAGCACTTGTGGGGATGTGGGGGCCAAAATGACAATCCCATCTTTAAGGAGAAGCTTGAGGGTGGGGTGAGGGGACAATGGAAGAAATACTAATTCTGGAATTCCTGTCCTTGTTTTGTTCCTGTCCTGTCCTCCCCACATTTCCCTCCCTGCCCCCCAACCCAGCCTCCTAACACAAAACACACACACACACACACACACACACACACTCTCTCTCTCTCTCTCTCTCTCCTTACAGAATGGAAACCATTTAGCCGCAGACATGATTTCCCAGGCATATTGCTGGGAGTACCTGGAGTAAATCACTTCCTTTTCTACCCCTGGGAAAGGTCTCCCTCTTGCTTGAATCACAATTCAGATAGTGTGCCTCCAGTGAGCTTGAGACTGATACGAAGTATGGGGTGCATCAGCACCAATGGCCTCAGCTCCAAGAATTAGGAGCAGAGAAGAGATAAGATAAAGAGAGGATGCCTCTGGGAAAACGCAGTGCCTGCTTCAGACAAACCTGACTGCCAAAACTCAGAACATTTTCATTTCTCTAAACCAAAATAATTATTTTAAGTAGAAATATAAAAAATATTCTGAAATATGATTCTAGGAGCAGCTGGGTGGCTCAGTCATTAAGCGTCTGCCTTCGGCTCAAGTCATGATCCCCAGATCCTGGGATGGAGCCTCCATTGGGCTCCCTGCTCAGCGGGGAATCTGCTTTTCCCTCTCCCTCTGCCCCTCCCCCTGCTCATTCTCTCTCTCTTTCTAAAATAAATAAATGAAATCTTTAAAAAAATAGTTTTATTCATAAGATTTCTGTTTGTATACTACTTTCCGGGAATCTATGTATCTCATAAAATGAGTGTCACTTCCTCACTAGATTATATCTAGTGATTTTGTAAAAACTATTGGAACAAGCTGATGGGGTAAGTAGACAAGCCTCCTTTTAGAGTAGACAATCAGCAAACCTTTTCCGTAAAAAGCCAGACAGTAAATATTTTAGACGTTTGGACCATACGTCTCTGTTATGACTACTCAGCTCCGTAGCTGTAGCACAAAAGCAGACCTAGACATCACATAAGCGAATGGATGTGAGTGTTCCAATAAAACTTTATAAACAATGAAGTGTGAGCCTCATATACTTTTCACATATCATGAACTATAATTCTTTTGAATTTTTTCCAACCATTAAAAAAATTTGAAAACCAAGCTTAGCTCTCAGGTTGTACAAAAACAGGTGGTGGGTTGAATTTGGCTCACAGAAAATAATCTATCTAGTTTATAAAATTTCCAGGACAAAGACACGTGAAGGTAAAGTTTTGGTTTTGGTTAATGTAATCCTTCCCTTGCGGTTCTGGTATTTTATTTTACTTTATTATTTATTTATAAATGAGATTTATTTATTTATTAGAGAGAGAGAGAGCACGCGTGTGTGCACGCAAGCACACAGTGGGGGGGAAGGGCAGAGGGAGAAAGAGAATCTCAAGCTGACTCCCTGCTGAGCGTGGAGCCCAGTGGGGCTCCATCTCAAGACCTGGAGATCACAACCTGAGCCTAAACTAAGAGTTGGACCCTTAACCAACTGAGCCACCCAGGCACCCCTGGGTAGTAGTATTTTATTTTATTTTAAAGATTTTATTTACTTATTTATTTTAGAGAGAGAGCGTCTCAAGCAGACTCCCTGCTGAGTGCAGAGCCTGACGAGTCACTTGATCTCCTGACCCCAAGATCACGACCTGAGCTGAAACCAAGAGATCAGTCATCTAACTGACTGCACCACCCAGGCACCCTGGTTCTGGTATTTTAAAATAAGACAAGTGGGTAAGGAAAATGAAAGTCAAAGGAATACATTATTAATACAGGAACTCAAGAAGAATAGAGAAATATTTTAGAGGTCTCTCATTTGACACTTTGCAAAACAAGTATGGACTTTACCTTCAGATGGAATGGGTTTCACCTCTATCAAAGTCACACTCTTACTGACCTCTGTTATTTTCTAGGAACACACTAAGTGCAAAGACCATGAGAAACAGCCCCTGCCCTTTGACAGGGGCAACTGCTCATCAGAGGTCCTTTCCATTTAGTAACAGTATCCAATCATTCACAGAACACCAACTTCATGCTAGGTCCTGGGTTAGGTGTCACACCTTCCAAGATCAGTAAATTCTGAAGAAGTTTATGGTAAGTGACTTTCTTCCCTGCTTTCATTTAGTTTTTATCTTATTTTTTTGAGGGAAAACCAAAGGCACAGAGGGTCTAGCTGGCTGTCTCACCATGGACTGTCAAAGTGGGAAACCAGAGCACGACTAGTCCCGGCCTTAGCAGGGCTGGCACTAGGGTGAGGTGAGTGAAGCCTCAAGGGCACAGAGGTCAAGGAGGCCTCACACACAAGTACTACATGACCTTGAGAGTGAGCACCTCCTTAAATTTTTCACCTGGTGCCTCACTTGCCTCATGCTAGTCCTGGCTGGTGCCTTAGATCGCCAAAGGCCAGCTGTGGTGCTGGAAAGGCTGGAATGGGCTTGGATGAACCTCATGTTCATATCCCCATCCTGAGATGTCCTAACTTCCTGGTGAGGAATTCCTTCTTTCTTGTGGTGTAGTCTTGTGGAACTCCTTGTTGGCCTCACGCCCAGAGCCTAGGCTAATGTGAGGCCCTGAGCATAGTGTGGGCATCGTGTCTAGACTATGACTTCTGAGCTGAATGAGTTGTTTTCTGTTTCTTCTCACGACCCACAGGACATCTATAGTCTATCTGAATAATGCCCATGTTACATTCCAGGGCCCACCTGAGAGCCCTGCTCTTCCAACCGTGGTCCACAGACCAGCGGCACTGGCATTGTCTGGAGCTGGTGAGAAATACAGACTCTCCAGCCTGCCTCAGACCACAGCCAGAATCTGCATTTGGATGAGGTTCCAGGTGATTCCTGTGCTCATTTAGATGTGGGAAGTGCTAATATACACTTTCCCCACACCGTCCCACCAGAGTCCCCTCGGGCTTCACAGCCACAGGGGCCTGGGGAAGGGCCTTCGTGGGAAATGTATAATTTGCTGAAAGTCTAGAAGGTGCAGGGCTGGCCCTCCCTTTCCCAGATGGGCTTGCTCCCTGAAGAATCCTCGGCCCAGGGCTCCTTAGACACACTCCTATGGTCTCCAGTTGATGGCTGACGCCAAAAGAAAAAAATAGGCACTGACCTCAGAAAATGGTGACAGCATCACCCTTTGAATAAGCCCCTCTCCAGGGAAGCTCCTCCCCTTTAAAAGTTTGGGGTGGTGGAGGCAGGAGATTCAGAAAACTATTTCAAAGGGTGACATTTCCCTCAGACTAACATGGGGTGGTGGGGGATGGTAGTGGCCCTCTCAGAGAAGAGACCTGTTCTATCTACCTTTCAGGATGGGCCAGGAGTGAAGAAAAGGCATCAACGGTCCTACTATTTATTGACAGCCTGTCATGCGGCTGGGACACATTTTACCTTTTATTTTTTAACATAACCATAAAGGACAGGCTTTCACAGAGGAGAAACTGAAATTCAGAGAGGTCAAGTAACTTGCCTCAAGTTCCCCAGTTGTTTGTTGGGAAGAACCAGGTTTTGTCAGTGGCGCAGATTCACAAAAACCCATGAAACATAACACCTAAGATGTAACCATGGTTGGCGTTTGTCCCATGCGGGTAGTGGTGGCAGCAGTGATGATGGCTCAGGTGTGGGCGTGTGTGAGCATGCGTTGGATGATGGTGGGATGGAGTCCTTGGGAGAGTCAAGGGCACAAGTGAGAAGTGAGAAGCTGGCAGAGCTTCTCTGGTGGTGGACGGCGATGAGATATGCGGTCCTCCACTTACGACACCATTTACACATTTATAATTTGAAATAAAGCATCATTATAGAATAAGTGGAAGTAGATCGAGGATATACAGATGTTTACGGTGATGACTTTATCAGTGCTCTTTTTTTGGGGGGGGGATATAAAATATTAAATTCTGTCTCCTTTTCTTTTGGGTGCTCTTCTTTTGCTGATGCACTCAGGACCCATCCCTGTAGGCCTCATCTTAACAGCAGCACTGAGGCCGAGAGATGCTCACCTGGCTATCTGGAGGTGGTGCTGACACCCTCCTCTTGGAAGACCGGCAGTGTGCCTCATTGTTAGAGAGGCGGGGACACTGCAAACCTGAGTGAGTCACTGCTCTGAGGATTTCTGGAGTGCCTGCTCTCCCCATTCCTGGGCTCTGAGTCAAGAATGTAACTGAAGCCCCAGACAATAGGGTGTGAAAGAAAAGATGTTCCCGAGTGTCAGATACCCAGGCCAACCAGACCCAAAAGCACAGAGCAGGTGCTTGGCGTTAGTTCCTGGTGCTGGCTGGGTCCCTGCACCCTGCCCCACACCCCACACCTCTCTAGACAAAAGCCATAGCTAAGAAGCTTGCACCCCTGCCTCCTCCCACATATCTAGGAGCCGCTCCAATGAGAACAGCCTGCTTCCTCTGGCCAACCCCTTCTTTCAAGGCTAAAGATATAGAAGGCAGGAACTGCATCCCAAGAGGGGAAGGCATGAAGCAGGGCCTTAGACATGAAGGATTTCACCAGAGGAAGATGAGGGTATTCTAAAATCTGAAGAAAACTTTCAAGTGCCCTAAGAAACCTTCTAGAGTCTGAGAATAAGATCAACAACCAGGTGGGCTGGGTTTTCTGAGTGTTACTGAGAAGTCCCCAGGAAACCAAACCCTGGAGGCAGACCCCCA